ATAACTCTCAATAAAGTATTTATTCTTTTAAGTATGAGAATTCTGTTTTCTGCTTTAAAGCAATAAATCTAAAAACAGATGAAATAAAAAATCTCCTAGAAAAATATGTTACCAAAATTGACACACAAAAAATAGAGAAATAGTAAATGCTTCTGAACGTATTTTTATAAGTTCAGTCTAGAGCTGGATTTTAGAAATAGACTGACAATACAAAAAAGGAAAGCAGTAAATCAATCTCAGTTTAAAATATCAATGCAAAAATCCTAAATAAAATATCAGCAAACATATCCAGCAGTGTGGTGTGTGTATATATACTATTTCTTTAAAAATATGTTTTTAATCTGACATATATGATATATCACATATATCATATTTATCACATGATTAATGTGTGATGTGGGTTTTGTATTTGTAATGATTTAGTAGGGTTTATCCTAGAAGCTCAAGAAAGATTTAACATTAACTAATGTTATTTAGCACACTTACAGATTAAAAAGGAAAAACTATATAATCATGTCAATAGATGCAGAAAAAGTATTTAATGAAATTTAACGCCCCTTCACAATTTTAAAATGCAATGAAATACCTAGCCAACCAAGAACAGAAGGAAGTTTTAATTAAGAAGTAGTTTCTATGAAGAACCTACAATAAAATTTAGGAACACATTTCCTTTAAAGTCAGAAACTAGACAAATATGCTTTCTCCAGCACCCTTCCATTCATCATTGTGTGAGATACAGAACTGATGCAATAAAGCAAGAACAAGGAGTAAAGGAAATAAGGATTAAAAACGGAGAAACAAAAGAGCATTATTTGCAGATGATAAGACTGTCTACATAAGAGAATCCAAAAGAAACTACAAACAATTATAAGTAATAAGAGAGTTTGGCAAGAACACTGGAGACAAGATTAATATACAAACACTCATGGCATCCTTATCAGCAACAATCAATTAGAAAATGTAGTTTTTAAAAGATTCCATTAGCAATAGCAATAAACTATGACAAACCTAGGAATAAATCTAAAGCAAATTATTAAACTTCACTGAAAGTCATAAGACCTAAATAAACAGAGATATATATCACACTCATAGAGTTGAAGATTCAACATCAATATTAATTCCTTTTAAATTAATATATAAATTCAATGTAATTCATATTAAAATCCCAGAAAGAATTTTCATGGACATTTTAAGCTGGTTTAAAAATTCACATAGAAGAATTAAGGTAAAAAAATAGCCAAGACAATATTGAAAAAGTATTAAGGTGGGCACTGTCCAAGTAGATATTAAGACATTAATTAAAGCCTTATATTTCAGACACATTAGGATTGGGGCAGATACAGATAACTACACCAAAGCAATAGAGAGAGCCCCTCCATGTAACAGAACTTGGGATGAGACAGAGGTAGCATTATAAGACTGTGGGAAAGGGCTGAACTATTTAATACATGGTTTGGGACAACTGGTTATTCATATGGGAAAAAAATAGACTCAAACTCACACTATATCCACAAATGAGTTCCAAGAGAATTATAGTTAACTTTAAAATGTTTAGAAAAAATACAGTCACTATTTTTATAATCTCGGGCTAGGGAATGATACAATGGGGAAAAAAAAAAGACAGGAAAAAATGGTGATAAATTTGATTTTAAAACTCTTGTGACAAAAGACACCAAAAAGACAAAGCTTAAAGGCAAGAAACAGACTGAGAGATAGAAGATTAAAAAAAAAAAATCCAGGGTGCCTGGGTGGCTCAGTTGGTTAAGTGACTGCCTTCAGCTCAGGTCATGATCCTGGAGTCCCGGGATCGAGTCCCGCATCGGGCTCCCTGCTCGGCAGGGAGTCTGCTTCTCCTTTTGACCCTCCTCCCTCTCATGCTTTCTGTCTCTCATTCTCTCTGTCTCAAATAAATAAATAAAATCTTTAAAAAAAAAAAAATCCAGTTGAGACAACATCAAAATAAAAGGCTTCTGCAGAGCAAAGAAAACAATCAACAAAACCAAAAGGTAACCTACAGAATGGAAGAAGATATTCACAAATAACATATCCAATAAAGGGTTAGTATCCAAAATATATAAACAACTTATACAACTCAACACCAAAAAAAACCAAAAATGGGCAGAAGACATGGACAGACATTTCTCCAAGGAAGACATACAGATGGCCAACAGACACATGAAAAGAAGCTCAACATCACTCATTGTCAGGGAAATGCCAATCAGAACCACAATGAGATATCCCCTCACACCTGTCAGAATGGCTAAAATCAAAAACACAAGAAACAAGTGTTGACAAGGATGAGGAAAAAAAGGAACCCTCGTGTACTATTGGTGGGAATATGAACTGGTGTAGCCACTGTGGAAAACAGTAGGGAGGTTCCTCAAAAAATTAAAAAGAGAATTACCATATAATCCAGTGATTCCACTACTGGGTATTTACCCAGAGAATATGAACACACTACTTCGAGAAGATATATGCACCCTTATGTTTAGTGCAGCATTATTTACAATAGCCAAATTACGGAAGCAGCCCACGTGCCAATCGATAGATGAATGGATAAAGATGTGGTGTGTGTATGTACGTATATAAAACAGACAATGGTATATCACTCAGCCATAAACAAAGAATGAAATCCTGCCGTTTGCAACAATATGGATGGATCTAGAGAGTATAATGCTAAATGAAATAAGTCAGTCAGAGGAAGCCAAATACCATGTGGTTTCACTCATGTGTGGAATTTAAGAAACAAAGCAAATGAACAAAGAAAAAGACAAACCAAAAAAGAGACTCCTGACTATAGAGAACAGACTGAGGAGAGGAGAGGTGAGTGGGGGGATGGGGGAAACAGGTGAAGGGGAGTAAAGAGTACACTTTAGATGATGAGCACTGAGGAATATATAGGAGCTTTGAATCACTATACTGTATACCTGAAACTAATATGACATTATATGTTAACTGTACTAGAATTTTTTTTAAATCCAGGATTTTTTTTAATCTATAAGGAAAAAAACAACCCACTACAAAAAAAATGATCAAAGTCTACAAAGTGGTAATACGTAGAAAAAGAAACCCCCATCACCAATGTTCATGAGAAAGAAAAGCAGAACATCCCCAGGAATCAGAGAAATATAAATCAATACCACAGTAAAATACCTTTACAATCTATCAGACAAGCAACACATAAAAGCCTGATGATGCCATGTTGGGAGAAATGCGGAGCAAGGAGAACCCTCCCATATTGCTGGGAGAGCAATCTGGCAATGTCTACTGAAGTTGATGATGTTTCTGCCCTCAGACCCAGAAATTGCACATCTGCATCTATACTTTTTTGAAGGGATGAGATTAGGGTGAGGTAGAAAGAGACAAACTGTTAACATTTGCTATAAAAAAATCTTTTTTTAAAAGATTTTATTTTGGGGGCATCTGGGTGGCTCAGTTGGTTAAGCATCTGCCTTCGGCTCAGGTCATGGTCTCAGAGTCCTGGGATTGGGCTCATGGCAGGCTCCCTGCTCAGTGGGGAGACTGCTTCTCCCTCTCCCGCTGCCCCTCTTCCCCTCGTGCTCTCTCTCTCAAATAAATAAATAAAGTCTTAAAAAAAAATTTTTTTATTTTTAAGTAATCTCTACACCCAACACAGGGCTCCGACTCACAACTCCAAGATCAAGAGTCACATGCTCTACCAACTGAGCCAGCCAGGTGCCCCTATAAAAAAATCTTTTTAAAATGTGGTACACATGGGGCGCCTGGGTGGCTCAGTCGTTAAGCGTCTGCCTTCGGCTCAGGTCATGATCCCAGGGTCCTGGGATCGAGCCCCGCGTAGGGCTCCCTGTTCCGCAGGAAGCCTGCTTCTCCCTCTCCCACTCCCCCTGCTTGTGTTCCTGCTCTCACTCTCTCTCCCTGTCAAATAAGTAAATAAAATCTTAAAAAAATAAAAAAATAAAAAAATAAAATAAAATAAAATGTGGTACACACACACACGTACACACACACCCAAGAGAAACTCTCCCACATGCATGCAAAGCATGTGTGCATGCTGAAGCACTGTCTGCAACGTCACAGAGTTAGAAACAGCCATAATATCCTTCAAAAGGGCACTTTAAAAGTGAGAAACAACTTTAATGTCCTTCCATTGACTACTATACCGAATGGAACATGGATGAGGCAGAGGTACATCTTTCTCAACAGATTAATCTTATACGTATAACACAGAACACAAAGCCGAGATATCACTGAAAGTTTAAAAACATTTTAAAATATACAGGCTGTCTATGGATACATGTGTGTAAAATATGCAATCATGCATGGTAATAATAAGCATCAAATTTAAATTGAAGCTGGGAAGGGAGAAGGGGAATGGGACTAGGAGGTGCTTTCTCTCTCTCTCTCTCTCTTTTACAGGTGGCTGGGAAGATCTAAAGCACATATGGCATAAAGATAGGACAAAATGATAATACACATGCATTTGCTATCTTATTCTCCATATTTCCTGTTTGCCTGAAATTGTTCATAATAAAAAAATACTGTGTTTTGCACATTTTAAAGATACCAACGGACATCACTTTTCCTAGGGGCCCTCCAAGGCAGCCAGGGCAAATGTTACTCTTATGGACCGATGATGAAGGTGAAGGAGGAGTGGGCAGGCGGGCACACGGTTTACCATCAGAGGGCTCGGAGCCCCCGGGCATCACATTGCGAGGCTCACGCCACTCATTCAGTAATTTATGTAACACAGGGAACTGGAACATGGCGCAATTCAGGGTAGGGTAGGCGGCCGAAGGAGAGGACAGCCTCTTCCCTTCTGGGACAAACCGCAGCCTGAGGAAGGACAATGACATAATTTGATAAAAAGGGAAGAAGACAGGCTGCCCCGGTCATCTGACAGCTTTTCAATGAATCCGTAATTCTTTCGTGGAGAGGCTGATTATTCACTGTGCACCTGCGGAGGAGGAGGAAGTGAGAGAAGTGACCTCCGTTCTGGTCACTTCGCCTTCAGAGCACAGCACCCTGGGCCAACAGGATGCTGCAGTCGGGACGCAAGCCTTGAGATCCAGTCCGGGATTGGTCCCTTACATGCTCTGCCTTTCAGCTCTTCTTTCAAACGGAGAAGGTGGACTGCCATCTCAAGGTCAGTGAAATTCTAGAATCTACTTACCCTGTTTTTCAGGATTTGTTTTCCCCTTTCTTTTAAAATCTGAAAGAGCTTCTGCATTTAATATTTGCACATGGTTTTGAGGCTCAGTCCTGGGACATGTCCCAGCTATGTTCTTCCCCCTGGTGACATACACCAAATGCCTAGTAATAGTATTTGGTGTCTGGAAGTCAATAAACACTCCTCCTCCGCCCAGCTCCCCAGCGCCGTCCCCACTCTTGGAGTCTGGGAACTGTTAGGTAGGGGGGTCACATGACTGTAGCTTTAACTAAGCAGCAGGGAATATGCCCCTTTCCATCCCTGCAGTCATACATGCTGCAGGGAGGTTGGGGGGGGCAGGGTCCCGACCAACAACTCAGCCCCTGAGGCAGCACTACACGCACATTTTAGGTTAGAAATAAGAAAGAATTTCCTGGCTATAGGAACTGCCAAACCGTAGGGTGGGTAACCAAGGGAGGTTCCAGAATCTCCTCTAGAGATCTTTAGAAACCCGATACAACCTCACATATCAGAGACGATTTTTTGCAATCCTGCCTAGAGACAGAAGGACCTGGTGTCTGATCGGCCCTCCTCCCAGGCACCCGATCCGCCTTCTTGCCTTGCCCTACTCTTCTCATTATTATATATGCCTCCTGTAGATCTTACACTTACTGCCAGCCCGCAGGCTTGTTTTCATGTGATTCCTTGCCCCCTCACACCTTTCCTTCTTATTTTATGGAAAGCGGGTCAAAGGTCAGAGTTGCCCAATTACCCACACATAGTTTGGTGGTAGCATCTGATACCCAGGCAAAACAGAGCTAGGATTCCAACCCCAGCCTCAGCGCCAAAGCTGGATGGAAACGGAGAAAATTAGCTGTTGTTAACAATCCGTTGTAAATGAAGATAGGAGCCTAGTAATTGATTTTAAATAGATTTTTAAAAGAATCGTTGGCCCTATTTCATGAAGAATACAGAGTTTCAAAAGCGTTCATTCCAGGGTTGGATTTTTTTCCCCCTCTCTTCTGGCTTAAACCCCAAATGGCCAAGATCCGAGTCTGAATAAACAGTGTGGGTGGTGACCGTTCTGTGAGGCCCGGTAGAGGATGCAATCACTTTCTTCCCCGGTTCAGCATTAAATCATGTGAAACTGGCCCGATCGTGCCCCAGAACTTCTGCTCAGTACATGGAGGGCCACAGAGCGTGTACGCTCTCTCCGGTTTTCAGGGAGGAGAAAAAAATTAATTCTCCCAACTGCGAATGTTTAATTATGTCTAAAGTTCATTGACCCCACAGACGGCTGTCAGATGATCTTGTGAAGGCCTGTAAAGGCATCCCAGGAATGCAGTGATGTGGGCAGAAACCGAGTGGATTCATGCCACCGAATGCTTGCAACAGGACGGGATCAGCAGCCGTCCAGAAAGGCTGCAGTGAAAACAGGGCTTCAGGATAATCAGTAATTTAATCTCACCTACGCATTTCTAGGCCTTCAAAAGTGAGGGTTATAAATCAGAATCTCGGGAAAGATCCCACAGGGAGGGGGCCCGGGACGGCGGGTGAAGTAATTCTGTTTGCTGGTTGTGGCCTCAGCTGGCTGGGGAGGCAGGCATTCGCAATGTTTTTCCCCCGTTGTAGAGGTAATGCTTTCTGACTTCCCAGCTACCGACATGAAAAGAAAATGACGATGAGGCAATCCCATTCATAAATACACCGTGGGGCTCGGGGAGACGGCAGCGTCTCTGTTTATTTAGATGGTTTTGATAGAATGCGGCCCAGAGCGACTGTGTGTCTTTGTCAAAAAATGCCCTACAGCGTGTTCCTCGTCCACAAGGGCTGGACAGCCCCCTGCGGGCTAACGGAGGGGAAGGGGACAAGCCAGGTGACCGTCCGGACCGTCTCCCTCTTGTAGTCTCTATCCGGGGCACAGGCCTGGCTCCTGGCCCCCAGGCAATGGTGAAAGCCAGAAGTGGGAACCATTCGGAGACAGGATGGTTTGGGCTTCTTGGAAAGGGGAGGCCGGGGCCCCAGGGGACGCTGCGGCCAGGTGGCCAGCTCTGGGGGCTCTCCTACTTAGAGGGAGGCAGTACGAAATATTCGGGCTTGGTGCTTCCTAAGATTAAAATGACCTATTAGGGGTCCAATATTATTTTTCTTTGAGTCGCTTTCGCACCAAACAGGGTCTATCAGTCAAAATACTATGCTTTCAGTGGGGAAAATGTCACAACCACAACCAAGCTGCATTCTCTCTGGCATCTTTATCGTTGTAAGTATAGAGAATGTGTGGCCAAAATTTCACCAACAATTCTGCTCCTCTGATGGAAGCAGAATGGAAAGAGTCTCACTTGTTTCATTTGTAGACTAACCTGAAATTCTTGGGTCCTTTACCAAAATCTGCCACTTCGCTTTTGAATGCACAGTGTGGGTCTGCGTTCAATTCATGTTAAACCAAGAGATATTTGGCAAACACAAATAATGGGGTAGGAGCTCGTGGCAATCAAAAAATCCAAAAGGCATGAACCCTGCCCTCAAACAGGCCAGAAACGAAGAGGCAGACATTAATCCTGGGAGGGCTCAGGAAACTTCGGGCATGCAGTCTTCCCAGGGCGTGGTGGCATTTGACCTCAACTTTTACCAAAAGCTCCATGTCCACTTGTACATTGTGGCATTGTGGAGAGGACAGAGAGAGAACTGACGCTGAGTCATGCGTATTCATGGTTGGGTTCTGTAATTTTACCTTGTTTTTAATCCATCTGACATTTGAGAGGTCTCCTGTCAAGACCCCTTCTTTAAGGCCCATACCATTTCATGCTCCTTTGGTCAGTGAACAGTTAGTAAAAAAGGAAAAAGAATTTCTTCTGTCTTCCCACCCTAAAGAAGGAAGCCTTCCTTCAAATCTTTAAACATTTTCTAGAAATATGATTTCCCTGTAACTACAGAGGAAATATATGCTTCCAGATAAAGAAATTTGGACGCTAACTAATATCCTAAATCACTTCCACCTTTTGGATACTACAATTTATAAAATTCCATGAAGGAAATGACTCTTACTTCTCATGAAGTTCCCATTGGGAAGTCGCTGTGAGCCATGGTTATGAAAGCGATATCCTCTTGCTGGTCCCAATTCCTTCCCTTTGTCGGGGGCCTTCACCGTCTTTGAACCACACAGCAATTTAATTATTTCTCGTCCGTAGTAGGTGTTGCAGTCCACCTCGTCAGGTGACTCTCAGAGTATATGTCTCTGTTACATTTTATTTTATTTTTTTATTTTTTATTTATTTATTTATTTTTAAAGATTTTATTTATGTATTTGACAGAGAGAGACACAGCGAGAGAGGGAACACAAGCAGGGGGAGTGGGAGAGGGAGAAGCAGGCTTCCCGCAGAGGGGAGAGCCCGATGCGGGGCTCGATCCCAGGACCCCGGGATCATGACCTGAGCCGAAGGCAGACGCTCAACGACTGAGCCACCCAGGCGCCCCTGTCTCTGTTACATTTTAAGTTCATGGACATTAGGGACTGTTTTATTCACCTTTGTATTTCCCCAGAGTGTCTATAACATAATTAGTGTTCACAGAACCAATGAGTAAATAAATATCATGGAGATGTCTATGGCAGGGGTTGGAAAACTTTTTCAGTAAAGGGCCAGATAGCAAATATTATAAGATATATGGTTTCTATCCTAACTGTTCAACTCTGCTGCTATTATAGGAAAACAGCCACAGACAATCCATAAACAAATAGGCATGGCTCTGTTCCAATAACACTTTATTTACAAAAATAAGTGGCAAGCCAGATTTGGTCCACAGGGCATGGTTTTTGGACCCCTGATCTATGGTGTTTATCTCTGCCATAAACCTTAGTATATTCTCTAAATTTTCATATGTTCCCTGTGATTATCAGTAACTAAAGTGCAGAAAATGTAAATATTTAAGAGTTGTTTTTGAGCTCCACAGTAATGAATCCACTTAAAAAAACAAACAAACAGGAACGTACATACAGAAATTAGCTGCTACTCCAAGTATATTTCATGGTCCCTTATTTTGTTTATTATATGCCTTTAAAAGGAACAATTCTTACCCCTCAAAAATGGGGTAGTAGTTTTACCACTGACCTCATCATTATTGAGTAAACTTGATATTAAGATCTCAGAGTTACTGGGTGAAGAGTCTGGTGCTGGGGCATGGTGAACTTGACACTTTCCTGGAAAGGGGAATAAATGCACCCCCCTCGTTCCCGCTCTCTACCAGATCATTTGATCTAATTTTCCTGCCAAAGGTTATTAATGCAGAAGATACATCCTCCTTTCTCTTGATGACCCTCTGGAAAACATCCAGCTACAAAGAGCACAATAGAATTTCAAAAGCCCAGCAAACACACAGAGAAGTAAAGGGTAGCTACGAGAATATGATGAAAACAAGATGTCCCAGGCTGATCACCCTGACCTGGTTTGAGAGTGCCCCACCCACCCTTATTCTTTCCCTCACTGTCCGGCTACCTTTGTGTAAAATACAATTCTTTAAAAAGGCGCTGGATCTGAACTGTGGTGGGAACTCAAAGGATACAAAGGCAGAAGGTCGACTGCTTGGTTTGGAAAAATTCAACCAGTTGTTTTCAAGGTATGAGAAAATACACCGCAAACAACCTACAAACGAGTACCCACAGACATTTTTTGAGATGAACTACTCTAAGGTGTGGATCTTGAAACTGTGTCCATCATCCCCAGGGTATCATGAAACAGTTCTAGAGATTTCTTATAAGAAAGAAAAAAAAAATGAAGTTTGAGCCTTTCCAAGCCTCTCCTCAGCACCTGGACCAGGTTCAAAAAATCAGAAGGATTCTGCGCCTTAAGAAAATGAGAAACCACTGATTCGCAAATAGAATAGGAAACACTGACTGCAAATAGAAGGTACGCTTGGGGGCTCAAAAGACCTGAGTTCAAATCTACCAATTCAACCTATGTGACTTGAGGCAAATTATCTGACTTTAATGTAGCTTGTCCTTT